ACTGGTAACTGCCAGACAAATGTAGTGGAGTAAAAAGTACAATATTTCCCTCTGAGATGTAGTGGAGTGGAAGTACGAAGTTGAATAAAATGGAAATACTCAGGTAAAGTACCTTGAGCTTGTACTTAAGTACAGTACTTAAGCAAATATACTTAGTTACATTCCACCACTGATCATAACATTTACTCTTACCACTACAAACTGACGTTGAACACTTGCTGTACCCTTTTTTCCCAACTTTTTTCAGCGGTCCAATGAAGCGGTGAAGCGTCAACCTCATATGTTTCTGTTTCAACCTGTTTTATTCCATTGAAAATGCTATTAGTCAGTTGCTAGTGCTATTTAACAATATAATTATGCAAACCAGTGCTTGAGCCATTTTGTTGCTTGTTGTTTGAACATAGCGCAAGACTGCCCAATAAACATGCAACCTGCATTGGAGTCATTTTAATCTATTTTATACTATTCATGATCCCAGGTTGAGGGACTTGGAGGATCAGTTCCAGGGTCTGCGTACCTCGATTTGTGCAGTGCCAGCCTTGAAATTCAAGGTAAAGTTGACACTTGACTCTACTGTATCTGCCATCAGTTGTCATCAGCTGCTGCAAGACATTTCCTTTTCAGCATGTGTCCTAGATTTGGTTCAAACCAAAAACTCTCTGAATCAAACAAAGAAACTGATTCAAATTACAAACGTTCTTATTCAAATTGCAAATGTTCTGATTCAAACTACAAACTTTCTGGTTTCAACTACAACTGATTCATATTCCAGATGGTCGGAATTTTCATCTCCAAGTTTTCCAGTTGCACAATGCCAAACATAAACAAAGCCCTTGGCTGACCATGACAAACTGATATTTCTGGGCAAGTGTACAGCTCTCAGCATTGCAGCCTCCACATTTGGGGTGCTCTTTTTACATTTTTTCCGAAAAACTTTTGAGCAGTAGATTACTGTAACCACATACCTGATAATTTGGCAACACAATCAATTGACATGCAAGTGTTACTGCATGGTGGTATGCATTTTAATTAAATACAGTTTAATTGATGTTTTACCACTTTTTCTAGTAGGAGGCTGAACATTTGACTTCCGAGTTATCTGGAAGGCATTAATATTATAGACATTCTCACTCTAGTCTGATACAAACTACAAACTCTTAAAAGCTCAAACCTTTTGATTCATACAAAAAATCTTCTCATTAGAACTACAAAGATTTCAAAACCATTCGCAAAACAAACTGATTCAAACCTACTTATTGAAACTATAAACCCTCTGATTCGTACAACATACTCTGATTCAAAACCACTTATTTAAAGTATGAATACCACACACCCTCCGATTCAAACAATAAACCCTCAGATTCAAACTACAAACCCTCTTATTTAACCTATAAAACCCTTGACTTAAAACCAACTTATTCAAACTATAGACCATCTAAATCAAGCTCCATACCTTCTGAGTCAAACAACAAACCATCATAAACTTTGTGATTATATAAAACTGTGTCAGTGAAACATCAAAACCTTCTGATTCAAACTACAAACCTCCTTGGTCAAACTACAAACTTATGGAGTCATATCAGTCAGAAGACAGAAGGATCCACAAATGTATTATGTGATTTATATATAAACGACTCCACACAAATATGCACACCAAAAAAGTTATTGTGATATATAAATGTAAAATAAATCCAATCTTTCAATCAGAAGATCGGCTGTTTGATCCCCAGCTCCTCCAGTCCATGTCGATGTGTCCTTGGGCAAGACACTTAACCCCAAATTGCTTCCGAAAAGCTGTGCCTTTGGTGTACGAATGGGTGTGAATGAATAGCCCTGATGGGGAGGTGGCACCTTGCATGGTAGCTCCTGCCATCAGTGTATGAATGATCAGTTGTAGTGTTAAACTGCCTTCAGCGGTCGAAAGACTAGAAAAGCGCTATACAAGTACAAGTCCATTTACCTTCATTAGCTTACTAATTAGCTACTATTAGCTACTTTAACTATTGTAGCTAAATCCATTAGCCATCTCATATAGTGAGTACTGTACCCAACAGCCTGGTAAGGTTGGCTGAGGTTGTCTCTATAGCAACGCAAAACTGGCAAATTGTCAATGTGTGCAGTCTGATATTGCAAGCTTGTTACCTATTTGCTTATTTTGGTTTGCTAGCAACGTATTTAATTGCATGCCAAATCACTAACGAAGCAAGCATTCATTAGTCAAACATATTTAAGCATGAATGCCAAGACATTTATTACTTATGTTGGGAATAACATAGCCTCAAAAAGGGGTTATCAGCAATATGTTGGGAACGTAAAGGAGCGTCTTTGGGTTATCAGCATCTAAGAATCTAAATTCTTGACATCAATAGAATTATTAATGTCAGTAACCATTATTAATGATTATTAATAATAACAACGGGGCACCACCCTGCGAACAGGGACCAATAACCAAACGATAAACTAAGTCTCATAATTTGTGTTCACTCACAATGTCAACAGTCTGAGTACTATGACACATTCAGAGTGAAAGTGAAGGTTTAAGTTCGAGCAGTGGACCACATATACAGCTATCATCACAATACACATGCACAAAGTAATCACAGACAGCTGCTCTTTAAAATATAACGGAGTTTATTACATTCTAATACGAATGATCTAGTCAACTAATATTTAAACTAACAACAACTATACATTTATGAGCACGCTATCTAAAATCAACAGACGATTGAAAAGGGGGGGGGTGTGTGTGTGTGTGTGTGTGTGTGTGCGTAAGGAGGAGGAGCGAGGGAACAGCTCAGCGACGTATGACGTAGTTGGGACGTGGTGACGTCTCTCATGCGCGGACTCAAAATGGCGGATAGCCAACAGGAGACCCGGCGTCTAGTGCCGGTAGCCGTTTAGCACGTAGCTACATTAGCTCAAAGCTATATGTGTGCATTAGTAAAAGAGAAGGGAAAGGAACAAAACAAAATGAAATAAAACAAAAGATTAAGATCCTTCGCTCCGTGCGGGAGTATGGAAGATTGCTCTCTCAGCCAGAGGAGCAAGAACCGCGACTCTTTGTCTCAGCCGGCGGTTCTGACCTCCTGAACTGATGAGAAGCAACTTCGACCTCACTAGGCGGCTAGCTCAACACAGATCACGGTAGCTTGAAATACACTAGCTTCTCCACAACCCCAACGATGTCGGCGATTATTAAGCATACACCACGTTATAAAAATGAACAGTACTTTAAGCACACGAACAAGATAAAATAAACAAATTAACTCTCTCTAACTCTGCCCAGACTCTATTTCGCCTTACGGTACGATGCAATCGTGGTGATTGAGGGGGGGGGGGTTCTTCTGAGGGGTTCTTCTGAGCTTCGTTGGGCCCAGGCAGCGCGGCTGCGGGAGGTGTTCTCTCGGTAGGAGAGATTCGCTGTCGTCTGGATAAGGGATTTTCGCGTCCTTATGTCCGCAGCAAACGAGGCGCTTGGTGGAGAGTGGAAGTTCTCTCTCTCTCTTTCTGAAGAAGTCTTGCTTCTTCACTTCTGCAGGAATAAAAGGGTTCGCTTCGTGGATACGAACAAAGATAAAATAGACAGTTTGGTGAATTCGGCCAGCGAATATAAACTGTTAGACCAAAGGGAAACAACGTTGGTGTGCTCCCTAGCTCGACGGAGGTCGAAGGGGAAAAAGCATTGAGGTGGGGGTTGCAGGTAGTTTTGTAGAACAGTGGCTGAACCACAGGGGTCCTGGGGTGTCTTGGCTCTCGGCCAATTAGATTGCAGCGCTGCTTTCAGGTAACTTCAGTAACACATAGTTTTTAGGGGGAGGAAACTCACACCCTAATGTGAATTTCTTCAGAGCTGGGGGGTTTGGTGCTCAAACTACAATCAGGATGAAACCTTTGCTTGCAAAAGGGAAGGCCTGACTCTCTTTGTTCCACAGCACATGTCGAAGCCATATAGTCAGATCCCAACACTTACATTTAGAGCATCACTGCCAGAAACGATTTTGAGGTTGACCTCAAAATCTCACCTCCGGCTAGCTGGATGTTGTTTGTTTAATGTCCATTCTCCTGTTCATTATTTTAGACTCTACGAATGTAAAATTATGTATTCACATTAAATCATACTTTGAAATCTATGCTTACGTCATTGGCTGAAACAGAAGGAGACATCTGATTGGCTCAAGATAATTCCTTGTTGACAGAAATGCATTTGTGAATCTTTTGTGTCAGGGGAGCCTCGAAAAAAACCAACACAGCTGCAGTGATATTCACACATGACAAACAGTTTTTAAATGAAGGTTTAACAGATTATACTGTATATAAATGCAACATCCAGATATGTTTTTGATGAAAATTGCAAATACGTTTGCATACATATATTTGTGGATTTCTCTTACTTTTATTTAAAACAAGAAATATTTTTGTGTGGATCAGAAATATACTTTGCGAACTTTGTGGAATTTGTTTTACATTAATACAAATAACTATACTACAACAATACATATATATAATATATATATATATATACATAACAATAACTATTTTTGTGTACATTAAAAATAATTTTGGGGTGTGTCATTTTTATATAAATCACAAAATACATTTGTGATCCTTTAGTGAGCATTCATTCATTTTGAGATGAGTCTGACTCCATACAAACCCTCTGATTCATACTACAAACTCTATGACTCAAATAAGAAACTCACTCATTTAAAATACAAACCTCAGACTCAAACCACAAACTCAATATTTCATACTACAAAGCCACTGATTCAAACTACAAATCCACTGGGTTCTCTTATTCTCTCATATGAAGTTGGACTGTCTTTTGTGTGGTAGGTAGAAAATTTCTTCTGCATGGGCTCTCCTCTGGCTGTTTTCTTGGCGTTGCGAGGGATCCGGCCGGGAAACAATGGTGTGCAGGGCCACATCCTCCCCACATCTATCTGCAAACGCCTCTTCAACATATTCCATCCCACAGACCCTGTGGTGAGCTACATTACCCACAACTGAGTGTGCCAAGATTGCGATTGTCACCAACATTTATGATGTTCATGAGTAATGGCTAACAAACCTTTTAATGGATGCTGTGTAAGTTTGTGGTGTTGTTATTAGATTATTACAACAAAAAACAAGAAAACAAACTATATTCAAATAAAATTTGTTAAAAAAATAATAGTGAGAAACCCTCATATGCTCTGTTTTTGTTTGTTTGTTTCAGGCATACAGATTGGAGCCTCTAATCTTAAAGCACTACAGTAACATTGCACCTGTTCAAATCCACTGGTAAGATGTGGAAGTGGTAGTATATATGAGAGATATAATTCTGGTTATTTATGAAATCTCCTGTGAATTTATCAAAACAGTGGATGCTGTGATCTAATGAGATGTTTGATCCGCAGTTTTTGTCTCTCTCTCTTTATTGTCAAACTGTTATTTGTGTAATCATTTTGTTAATGTGATGTGAGGTTAATGTGGATGTGATGTGCAGGTACAACACCACCAGCCCAACACCGTATGATCAGATCCGGCTCACACTGCTCAACCCTCCAAAGGAGACCGCATCTATCTCCGACTCAGAGAGCATCCCCAGCCCCTGCACCTCCCCACCCCAGGCCAGACGCCACTATGGAGAGTCCATCACCAGCCTTGGCAAAGCCAGCATCATGGGTAAGCACACAGCAAAGTAAAACAAAATAAAACAGGAAAATACCTGTGATGGATTTGAAACCATTACAGCCGCACACTCAGCGTGTACCTGATCTGAGCTGAGAGAAACTGCAGCTGCTTACACTACACTACTGCTTACAAGGCAAGCAGCTGTAAGCATGCTCTAAACAAATCAATATAAGCAATCATGCTTACATCATGCTGTCTCCTGGACTGGACAGCATGTTTTTTTTCCCTCTGTGCATCAGATGTAGTGTGGAGAATAAATGTACATTATTGGCCAATGTAAGCTGATTAAAGACATTTTAGATTTTTTATTAAATGTGGAATAATTATTTTTTATTACTAAATACGTCCTCTTTATTAAGCTTCTACTCGGCATATCAGTTAAATATGGAAAAAAACGATGAGTGTGTCAAAGTACTAAAGTGAGGCACTGACTTCATGAGAACTATTCTGTGTCATTCATTTTTTAACCTACTTATCCAGTTGAGAGCAACATGGCTGGAACGAGAAGCAGGGTATTCTCTGAACTAGAAGCCAGTATATTACAATCCTGTAATCAATAATATCGCAGGATTAACAGACAAATACAGCTGTAACCACCGTGTTTCCCCAAGAATTATTTTGAGACAAATCTTTGCGTTTAGGAAGTTATAACTCTGGATCAGTGGTGTGCCAGGTCATTATGCTGGGAATGTTTTGAGTGTAGCCCCAAATATAATTTTAAATACAAGCCTGTGAAGATTGACAAGTATCGACATCATTCATGATGTGTTAGAGGGCAGAGCCTTAAGGGGCAGTGAAAAACATTGCAGACTCTGTAGCCACTTCCAGTGAATGGCGAAAGGTTAGTGACTGGGGCAAAAACAGGTAAGTCCAGAACTTCTGGTAACTCGTGAAGGGTGTGTTGCTTGCTATGATGATGTAGCTGAAGAGGCTTGGCTGGTTTGTTTGGTTGATTGACCAGCTTGCTTCTGATGGCTGGATGGCTGCATGCTAGACAGGCTGTTGAACAGTCAGTCTAATAATGTTAGTCAGAGGTGTATACTATGTTGATTGCCAACATGGGAAAGCTGTGACATAGTGGCTTAGGCAGCATGCCAGTTTGCATGTTAGTTAGCAGGCTAGTTACTTGTTAGACAGCCTAAGATGGATGATAGATAAATGTAGCATCGTGCCACAGGTCAGATTAGAACCATCCGCCTGGGGGGCGCAATATAGGGCCCTATATGAGCTACCGGAGCTGGTGGTCTGGCCCATTTGGTGGGTCAATACACATGTTAGTTGTCCTATCATATTGTTTGAACACTGTTAGGTTAACATGATGCAGATAGCAGATATGATGGGAGATAGCGGAGGGCGATTAACTATTTGGCTGTTGCTTAGTGGGTTTCTCCAGCTGATAATGACATGCTGGCTTGACATGGTGTTTTTCATGCCTTGAAAACTCCAACAGGGTTGGACACAAATGCAGAGAGTTGAGGAGGCACCAGGTTTACTTAAGTGAATTATTGTAGATTTAGCTTACAGGTGGCAAGAGTCCAAATCATAGAAGAAGTGGATTTACTCACTGTGACATCATCCATTGGTTTGAATTTTACTCTAAATGGGCCATAATTCACTAAATGAACATCCTTGTATACAGTCTCCACCATGTTTGCTCAAGTCAGCAGGAGCAATCCTACGATCATCCTATTCAAACACTACATTTGTGCTGAAAGAGAGAGGAAAAATGGTTAGACACACTTGTATAGGCATGGATGGGAAATTAAGATTAGGTGTTAAGGTGTGGTCTTTGTTCCCCAACTTAAGTTATTAAGGTAGTTAAATGGCATTAGTTGTGAAAATCAATTTAATAAAGTATGACAAATATGAATTGATGTAAAGTTATCTCATGTTCTTGGTTGTCTTTTAGTTAAGTAATGAGTGTATACTCCACTATGGGATATGATTTTGGGTAGACAAAACCGAGTTGTTGGGTGTGTGAAGTAACCTTGAGTTATCATTGCTGTATGATCCTTAAAATGATTGGAATATATATTACATACACAATATTAATACTTATATAATACATAAAAAATGTTTAGTATGACCCCTTATCATGGAAGTATAATACACATTTATTCCTTATTCCTGGCTTATTTGAAATGTACCTTGTCATGTTTTCAATGTTTTCATTGTCCACTCAGCACTCCTGACCTGCATCATACCTGATGCTCTTACCGTTTAGAAGTCTTGAATATGCATTCTAAATTCATATCAGTAGCGATGTATCACCAATTTCTTATTGTTGTGTAACATTAACTTTATGAGCTCTGTAAGTTAGCTTGTATTGGATATCCTCATTTCACCACCTCCATCCACCACTCTACAATCACATGCCCTAATGGAATATTTAACTTACATTTAAATACCCACACCCCACAAGCATTTTTCTATAATTTCACACCATTATATGAAATGCGCTGTTTGTGGTTAACATTATGTATAGCTAACCAGCATCCTAACCTAATCTGTTATCTGTTAATGCTCCGTTACGCTACAAGTTTAGTAGTGGATAAGACACTAACATGCTTGAATACACGTTAATTGGATTCGGATGTGTTGATAATATACAGTCCCTTTCTTTAAATGTCTTACCTTTAAATTGAATTGAATTAAAATGTAACTTTTATAGCCCAATATCACAAATTTGCCTTAGATGGCTTTACAATCCGTACAACATAAGACATCCTTGGACCCTTGCATCAGAAAAGGAAAAACTCAGGATCCCCCTCCCAGGATGGACAGATGTGCAATAGATGTCATGTGTAAAGAATACGATATAATAAAATGTCAGTCAGTTCGTATTACAGAAATGATACATATAATGAGAGTAGTAATAGCAGTAGACAGATTAATAATAGCAGAATAATAATAGAAAAAGGATTACTACTAATAATAACAGCAGCAGTGGATATATTAGAATTATAATGATAGTAAAAGCAGTAATAGTAAAATATATTAGATAAGTAATATCTATTTGGCTGCAATTCTATGACACTGCTAGTATTTGCTGCTAAATTCCAGAAACTATTAAGAGGCTCCATGAGCCGCCATTACTAAAACGAATAGTCCATTGGAGTGAATGGAGATTCCGCTCCTCTTATTAAACGGCTCACACTGTGAACCGTCAACCAAACACCATTGAGAGGGTCACTATTGAGAGGGTCATCCTGATGACCCTGTAGATTTGCCTGTAATCTTTCACTCACACAAAAATGAATTTCGATGTTTCTTTATTTGAAAGTTTAACGGACAACTGTGGATATACAGTGACGGTATCTGCTCTTCACTTGGGTAAAGATAGAATTCAAGGACGCTTTGAAGGTCAGAGAATGGCACTAGTGTCACTAGTGTCACTAGTCACGATTTGTAAGACTAGTGGAGCTAAATTAGATTAGGTTAAATGAAAGTTTACTGTCATTACACAGAGTACAGGTACAACAAAATGGTAAATGGACTGTATTAGCACTTCTCTAGTCTTAGATGTTCATGCACACTCACACATCGTGCAGTAATGAGCAATTTGGGTTCAGTAACTTTTACATATAGACTGCAGAGGCCGGGGATCTAACCGCCGATCTTCTGATTAGTGAGCCACCCAAGAATGTGCAAAAAAAGCAGAAAAGTCTGTATCGTCAAGTATCTGTTCTTTGCTTGGGTGAGAGTAGGATCTTATTACAGGTCAGTTAGGGAGGTGGTGATGCCTGTCAGAGGGCTCAGTAGATGTATGGCAACACAGCCCTGGTGATAGGTCCAAACATTTAACAATTTAACATGAATACTGGGCTTCCATAGGAATGCTCACCCAACTTTTGTCACATTTTACTCCACTGTTGACTGAAATGAATGAAGTATATGCAGCATGAATCTTACTGCCCCTCAGGTGCTGCCAGTCTTGGAAAGGGAATCGGAGGAATCCTGTTTTCCCGCTTTTCCCGTTCTAGTGGCCAGGTGGGCGGAGTGGAGGAGGACCCATCAGATTCTGAGGGCGGGGCCTCTGAAGTTGAAAATGTGGCATCAGGAGTGGAAGTGGCAGAGATCGAAGAAAAGGACAAAGAACTAGAGGAGGGGAGGACAGAGGTGGAGCCTGCCATGTACCAGTCCGCCTCAGCTGTCATGGACAACACCTCCTGTAAGTGCTGTACTTTTGGTCAGAAACTTACCTGCAGCTGGATTTGAGTGGTCGGCTATACAGTACAAGCTATACAGTACAAGTCTAATTACCGTTACCATTTGACCATTGCTGTCAATGTCAATGCTCAAGGTGATCACAGACCATAGGATCAGTGGCTAAATACAAACGTTTAGACTTCAGTGGCCTTAATAGGGCAATATGATCTCTGGCGACAGCGGCTTAGCTTTCAATGTATTGGCGTGGATGAGTGTTTCAGTGATGGAGGAGGAGAGGGAGGGGTATAGACAGGCAATGTTTTTGAGATTAAATATGGTCTTTTTTGTAATGGGGTTGACGTGGCGTTCGAAAGAGAGGGTTTGATCAAAGATGACACCAAGGTTGCGGATGTGTGTGCAATCAGGAACAGTGAAGCTATCAATGCACAATTTGTGGCAGGATTTGTTGAGTTATTTGAGGCAACCGATGAGGATTTCAGATTTGTCACTGTTGAGTTTGAGTTAGCTTGAGTTAGGTCTTTATATCTGTGAGGCAGTTTTTTAAGGTGGAGTGAGTGGTGGGAGAAATGGATTTGGTGGACATGTAGAGCAGGGTGTCACAGGCCATGTGGACATATGATGTTACCAAGGAGGTGCATGTAGAGGATGAAGAGGAGGGGACACCCTGAGAGACTGGCACTGCGTTGTATATATTGATACTCAAAAGGTGTGCAGCCTAGCTGTATAACCGATACCCCTTCCCAGTGTGAGTGAAGCACTGGAAGATGGCTTTTTCAGTAACTTTTGACGTAGGTAACAAACGCACGCCCCCTTATTGGGACAAAACCAGGTTAACTTGGTTAACCTGGTTTCAGGATTTTAGCCTGAAATCACTTATTTCAGGCTAAGAAGTTGGCCTCCCCCGACAGCTGGATATCAACCGATTTAGGTGTGTGTGCAATAGGTGTAGGAGGACTGGAAGTACTCCAGGATGGACCCACTCTAAAGGGCCACCACTGGAGGTGGAACCCTGAGTGGTTGGGAACCTCGCTCGGTTATGAAGGGCAGCCTCAGGACCCTGGCCATAACACCCTCAATTTAGATGCCAATCTGACCCCTATTGCTTCACTAAAAAACACAACAGCTAATGTCTAAGCATTACAATCACACTGCAACATCATATATACAAGTCGAGCATCAAAAACAATCTGAGCCAAAGTTAGTAAATCACATAATACCAAACAACATGTTTTCAGTTTGCCCATTATAAACACTAGGTATCCACAGTCTCTGTAGCGTTAGTTGGCTCCCAAAGCTAAAAACTAAAAACAAGGCGGTTGCACTAGCCTCGGCATGCTGTCCATAATCAAAGTTAAACAGCCGAATATGTGATGGCTAATTTCTTACACCTAGTTAAAACATATAAATCAAAACAAGCAGGAACTAAAAGTATAGTGTAAGATGTGGCTTCAACTGGATAAAATGCCAATTTGTGATAGGGCTACTGACAAGCACACACATTGTCACACAACCCTAACATATGCGTATTGCATTAAATTATGTTGTGACGGTGTCAAGTAAAGCATGACAATAATAATGAAATTAAATTTCCATATGCTATAGTCCAAATGTACAATGTATTTTTTTAGGAAAACCAGGAACCCACCCAGACTCTTGAAGGATTTAACTGGGAATGTCTGGTTGTTGGCTTTACACTGCGGTACACTCACATTACCTGTGGTGTACCGCAAAGGTTCAATTTTAGGTCCAATTTTATTTTCCATATACATGCTCCCACTTGGTCATATCATCCAACGTCACAATGTTTCGTTTGATTGCTACGCAGACGACACATAGATATACCTTCCCTTGACACCTGAATACCCCAGAAGCCTAGCTGCTATTTTCTTAATGATATCAACTGTTGGATGGCACATTTTCTTCAACTCAATAACTCAAAATCAGAAATCATAATATTTAGTCCCCCAAACCCTATCACTCCCATTAAAAGTGCCCTTGGCCCCCTGACCATTAACATAAAGTCCACTGCCAGAAAATTAGGAGTATTTTTTGATTCAGATTTAAGCTTCAAACCACAAGTCACAAAAGTTGTCCAGTCCTGTTTTCTACAAATTAGAACCATCACCAAAATCAAAGGAATGCTCTCTCAACATGACCTGGAAAAAGTAATTCATGCATTCATCTTTTCAAGACTTGGTTACTGTAACTCCCTTCTTTCTGGCATCAACCAAAAGTCACTCTCTCGCCTCCAACTAGTTCAGAATGCAGCAGCTCGGCTTCACTGGTTCTAACAGACGACATCACATCACCCCAATTCTAGCCTCTCTCCACTGGCTCCCTGTACGTTTTAGAATTGATTTTAAGATTTTACTGATCACTTTTAAAGCACGTATGGGTCTGGCCCCAACATATATAGAGGAAATGTTAACCCCCTATGAGCCAGCTCGCAGCCTAAGATCCTCGGGTGAGGCCCTTCTGGCTGTTCCAATGTCGAGGCTGAAAACTAAAGGTGACCGTGCCTTTTGCCATCAGGGCCCCTCGGATTTGGAACGAGCTGCCTGAGGAGATAAGACTCGCAGAATCAGTAATCTCTTTTAAATCACTTCTTAAAACACATTTTTACAGACTGGCTTTTATGTGATGTCGTCGCTTTCCTGTTGTAATTCTGTTTTCTTTTTATTTGTTGATTTTACTAAATTATTTTACTAAATGCAGTTGCACTCGATTGTTCGGCCCCTATTGCGGGTTGGGTTTGTTGGCGGGATTTTGCAGGCTTTCGGCTGTTTTCGGTTAACAGCTCAGACGGGAGCAGTTCGAGTGGCTCAGCACGGCTGGTGTTGCAGGTTGTTTCTGCGGATTCGGCGCGGAGTGCCGCTTTCGGTGACTGCTGCGGTCTCTGAGTTGTTCGGCCCCTTCACAGCGGGCGGCTTTGGTGCTTGGTGGAGCGCCCTTTTGCTGTTGTGGCCTGGTGCGGGCGTGGCCTGGCGCTGGGTTCTGGCGGCGTTCCTGGGGGATCTTAGCTCATCAGTCCCGGGGTGGGCTGAGATTCCTCGGGGGCACTGTCGGGGCCTGGTGTCTGGCTGTGCGTTGCGCTTGCATCGGGTCGTGGCAGCGGAGGGGTGCTCTGCCGGGTACTTGAGGTGCTTGTCATGGGGGGTTTGAGTGGTTTTGGAACTGCGGTGTTCATTAGTGGTGGCACTTTGTGTTGGATTTGGGGAGACCGCTTGTGGCATTGGTTGTGTTGAGCTATTTGGGTTGTTCTTGTTTGGGTCGTTAATTGGGAGCGGCTGGGGGTTTGTAGATTTTGCGGATGGATCTGATTTGCAGTGGGGGTTGAACCATTTTGAGTGCAACTGTGTATGTGTATATGTGTATGTATATATGTGTATATGTATATATGTGTGTGTATGTAGTATGTATGTATGTGTATATATCAGTGGTTGGCCTTCAGGGCCAGCTAAGCCTTCTCTGCTGGCCTAAACAGAAGCACAAAGTTATAGCTATTTTATAGTTTAATAATTTTTCACAAATACACTACATGTTAGGGCTGCACGCTTATGGCCAAAATCATAATCGCGATTATTTTGATCAATATTGCGATCACGATTATTCATTAATTTTTGGGACATCTTTTTATTGCACTTTCACGTTTAAATGAACAAGAACTCTGCTTCCACTTCCATTGTTGTGCTACATTCCAGCTAATGTACACGCCTCTGCATCAAAATAAAACGTATACGGTTCTTATTCACCTGAAGCAAAATATAAATAACATTTTTACCCAAAATAAAGGGCTAACTAAAAATAAATATGTGTGTTGCTCACAGTATTTATTGGACACATGTCTTTGGCCAAATGAAATGCGATTGCATCCGTTATTTCAGCGTGTCTTTGGGAGGTGGATGGATACGCTGTCGCTCTATGCAGGGTCGCTGTTATGGTTTTCTGGGTTGACGTTGGACATGGACGGAGATTCAGTGAGGTAACGTTAGCTTTGGCCTTAATGCATTCGTTGTACTGTGGTTTGTGGTGATTTTTCAGGTGTCTGAACAAGTTAGTTGTATTGCTATGCGGCGCAGACACAACTCTAACTGTCATATGATTTGTTCTTGGTTAACATCACTTGGCCTAAATCCAAAAAACTTCCAGACAATGGATGATGATCCTTTTCGAGGGGTTAGCTCCTCGCCTTCTGCTCCTGACATTTGATTTACCTTTCACACGACACCAGTGACCACTGTTGGCAACTATTTTTCCGGGGAAGTTGCTAGAGGCAGGTCGATTAGTTGCTAAAAGTTGCTAAATGACGTTGTGATGTAATTATTTGATGACGTCATTACGTAATAACGTAAAACTGCGTCATTACGTGATGACGTCATTACGTGATAACGTAAAACTGCGTAATTACGTAGACTACACAATTTTAGGCTGTACAATTTTGACTGAGACATACTGCTGCTGCTGCAGTCAGCCAACAATGATTTGCTGCGTGTCACTGTCGGGCTGTCGGCTGACTCGGCTCGGCTCACTCGGCTGCTGCCCCCTCCTGTGCACGAGCTGAGCACATGCTGTTGACGTCACCCGCAATGCACTTTTGCAGCCAGGCACTTGTGTTGTGGGTGTGGCTGTGTGTGTGACGGAGAAAATCTTTTTTGTGTCATTTAGAGGGAAAATGCCTGTGTGCATTTTAGCATTTGAGTCACTTTAAAAAAGTTGCTAAAAGTGCCAAATATATTTTCATAAGTTGCTAAATTTGTTGCTAGGTGCTGTTTGAAAAAAAAGTTGCTAGAGTAGCCTGAAAAGTTGCTGAATCTAGCAACTAAGTTGCTAAGTTGGCAACAGTGCCCGTGACCATCTGCTCTGTTGTCTGTCTCTCTACTCTTCTACTAATAGCGGAGTCTGCAGGGTGCGCGCATGACACCTCCCATCTTGTTCGCCCCCTGGTGGTTGGCTGACTGTTAGTTGAGGAAGCGCTTGATTTGATATGTAGCAGAGCACGCATTTTAAACGTCAATATCGCTGACGATCATGCTCATTTAATCGTGGCAGCCAAAATCGTGATCGCGATTAAAATTCGATTAATTGTGCAGCCCTACTACATGTATTATAATATTTTTCCCATTATCTTATTTTCTCATTGCACAGCTACTGTCTGCCTCTGTTGCTCTGCTTCCAGCACAGCTTGTTTTAAGGAGAGCTTTTATCCAATCAGATTTCACCTCTGTGTCTCTAGGTAAGAAGAGAGGCCCGAGGCCCGCTAGAGAGCCTTTGCAGGTTAAGTGAATGGGGATGATATTGTTGATTGTCATAGTCTTCAACCAATCAGATCTTTAGTTTGACATGTTGGGCGTATTCTTTGACTATCAGAGCCTGCGCGCCGGCCTATAATGACGTCAGCATTACATGCCGCTCAGTGTCCATGCACAGGCTCTGCCGCGAGGTGCAGAGTGTGCTGTGATTGGTCAGTGGGCGAGCACGTGACTATTGTGAAACGAAACTTAACAGCAGAGGCTGTCAGGTAGTGAGTCACATCATGTGATGCAGCTCAGCCAATCAAATATGTACATTCTGACCAGAGTAAGATGTACCAGACACCATGACAGAGGAGACTGAGACGAGGAAAGACACTGCAGAGCAGTACGTTCAATGTTGGAGTTGTGAAAGTAAAATCCTATGACAATCTCTTTGGGTCCCATGTTGGGCGTATTCTTTGACGTGCCAGTGGTACTCAGGTAGCCTGCTAAGTACGTCTGCATTAACGTGCAGCGCAGCATTAAAGTGCAGCGCAGTATTAACGTGCAGCGCAGCATTAACGTGCAGCGCAGCATTAACGTGCAGCGCAGCATTAACGTGCGCCGTGATTGGTCAGTGGCCCACGTGACTTTTGTCAAACAGAAAGCTAGCTAGCAGATCTTAGTATTTACTAAGAGTTCAGGTTGAAACATATGTAAGAGAAGTTATGACATTTTTAGCATTTTGTTTGGTGTAGAATTTTATTTTTTTTTACCTACAACCAAATACAGCAGTTTGGGCTTTATTTTGAGAGCCAGAAACCTCTCTGAGTGTCTCTGCGTAATGGAGTTTTTCTGGATTTCAGCTCCCTGTGATTACGCAGGCCAATATCTCTGCAACCCATTGGTCGATTTCAGTGTATGACCCCTCTTTTGAATCGGTAGAGCCAATAGAATGGAGCTATACCCTCGTGGAGAAGACTGACAGCACTGTTAGCCAGTCAGAATCAACAAGGGGCCGTGTATTGTGAAGCGTACGATCCGATACGCTGAAAGTCAAATCCTCACCCCTGCTCAGAATAGCCCCCCGCTGAAGCCACGGAATGATTTCAGTGAGACATAGGATATCCGTTGAACAGATATCTGTGTGAAAATGCCGGCAATAATGCTTTGTCTTCGTCAAAACGTCAAAGGTAAGAAGCATTTGCTGATCGTAAAGCGATTTGTGTTGCTGGTGTTGGTTGGCACATATCTCGGTGATGGTTTGACGGAGAGAGATATTGACGATATGTATGGAATCTGTGTGGAATTTGCTTGCTTTCTGTTGTATCAGTTTCTTTGTTAGCATGTAGCTTCGATCGCTAGATCCTGAAATGTGCTGGCTGTTCTCCTGGCGAAATATGAATATGATATTTTGTTAATTATTTTAGTTGGTTGTTTGAGTTGTGTTTGGAGCGTGTACAAACGGCTTACATATTCTTGTAGCCCAGGTTCTGATGTTTAATTTGATGTGCGACATTATATGTGTTCGTGATAAGTGCATTGTTTTCGACGGTATATGCTAAGCTTTCTCCACAGCCCCCAAAAATGGGCACGCTCGGGCTCAAGAGGTGGGAGCCAGGGATCGAACCGCCGATCCTCTGATTGATGGACAACTCTGCTCTACCACTGAGCCACAGTCGCCCACATGGACCAGCTCTTTACACCCATCCAGTCTACGAGTGATTTGTGGACTTGGAGAAGGCTTACGACCGTATCCCCCAGGGAGTCCTGTGGGGGGTTCTGCAGGAGTATTGAGCATCGCGAATGTTCCCACGAGCCATGTGATCCTTATATGAGGTGGAATGAAACCCATGTCCATATTCACGCCAGGAAGTCAAACACGTTTTCAGTGGGTGTTAAGTTTGCAAATGATATGTTTCATTTGGCTTCATCAGACCGCTGTTTGCAGTCTAGTGTGAAGTGGTCAGATGTGGGTCAGCACCTCCAAGTATGAGGCCCTGGTTCACTGTCAGAGTGAGTTTCTGCCACAAGTGAATGAGTTCAAGTATCTCAGGGTCTTGTACAGGAGTGAGCGTAAAATGGAGCGTGAGATCAAAAGGCAGATTGGTTAACCGTTGTACCGGACTGGGTGAAGAGAGAGCTGAGCCGGTAGGCAAAGCTTTCAATTCATCAATCAATCTACATTTCAACAGTCACCAATGGTCATGAACTTCGGGTAGTGAACAAAAGAACTAGATCGCAGAAACAAGCGTCCAACATGAGTTTCCTCCAAAGTGTGACTATAGGCTCAGCCTATAGTCACACTCAGCCTTAGAGATAAGATTAGGAGCTCAGACATCTGGAGGGAGCTCGGAATAGAGCCACTCCTCCTTTGCGTTGAAAGGAGACGGTTCGGGCATCTGATTACGTTGCTTACCTGCCACCTTCCTTTGGAGCCTTTACGAAGGTAGGCTATGGTAAGATACCCAGAACACGCTGGAGAGATTATATATGTCATCTGTTGTAGGAACGCCCTAAGATCCCACAAGAGGAGCTTAAAAATGTTTGGAGAGAGTCATCTGGACCATACCTTGCTTAGCCTGCTGCTATGATGGACGGAAGTTTTTGAAGAGATCTCTCATTTTTATGTATATGTTTTCTGACGTAGTCAGGTTTCATGTTTCACACATAAAGAATATGCATATCTTCTTCTGACACTGTATGCAGCTGTCAAAACCCGGCTCCTAGGCTATTGCAAATACGGAAAAGGACACAATGGAGGATAGTAAATTAAAGGTATTTATTATAAAGAAGTAAAGAACCCATTGTGAAGTGTGTTAGTCAGTAGTGTCAGTAATGTAAACGTGACTGCGTGTGCATGATGAAGTGTGGGGTGTTGTTAGCGGAAACAAAAGAAGACCAAACCAAGGCATAAACGGGCAGATGCTGGCAGGGATGAGTCCTTGTGTGCAGGAGAGACCAGAGCAATGCTGGAGTACAGCTTTTATTCCCTAGGAGCTCCAGGACCAGGTGCTCTGCATCCACTACTCTGCCACAACCACGTTCCTGTGACACCTTCGGGGACATAGGGACACATAACTGGCAAAACCACACTTGTAAGATAGGCAGGGACCGTGACACTAATCTGTTTTTTTCTTTGTTCTAGTGGAACTGGAGAGACGCATCGACTTTGAGCTGCGGGAGGGCTTGGTGGAGAGCCGCTATTGGTCAGCAGTGACCTCACACACGGCCTATTGGTGCTCTTATGATGTGGCACTGTTCCTCCTCACCTTTATGTACAGACCACAAGATCCTCTTGAACCTGCAGAAGACAACCCAGAGACCTCATAACGTGCAAACTGACACATGGAGCCATCACGTGTCATATCACTTTGTATTTACGCTTTTTGAGATATAAACTGAAAGACCCATTTATGGAACATAAAATTAATAATGAAGTCTCTTTATTCAGTCATTCTTCATTTTCGAATATCTTAATTCAGATACAAATATAATGTAAAAAAACAAACAATTTAATATATTATTTGGAAACGTGAAATATTGGAAAATATTCATATTTTAAATCATGTTTACTTTTAGTTTAATCAAATAATGATTAATGCCATATTAGTATATGTGACTATTAGTTGATTTGATTGGAAGACATTTTTAAAATACAAGAGTTAAAGTCTAAAGCCCTGCTAGCAGCCTAAATACTGCAATGTTCACCCTACAGTGTTGCACAAAACTATTTGTATAGTTTTTATTGTATTTTTTTAATTTAAATTGGCCATGCATCATTCTCCCACAAATGGCTAATACTATTGCAATTTGATTGAAAGATTTCATTTCAGAATTGGCAGTCCAAGACTTCCATATACTACTCGCCAAGCAAACTAAAATGTTATAATCGAGTGAATTGAAAATTATTTGCAAGCGTACACACAAATCACTTACCTATTTTACACATTACATCTACATTCATAGTTTACACACTCAATAAAATAAGATAATCCTTTATTAGTCCCGCAGTGGGGAAATTTACAGGATCACAGCAGCAAAGTGGACAGTGCACACAAGGTACATGGTAAAGAAGAAACAAAAGCAGCAAGTATTATAACCTATTCTAACCTCGATTTGACTCTTGCAGACTGAGTGGACATATAGTATACTGTGCCTGTCCTCTTTTTCCTGGTATTCTCTCAATGAAAACAACAACTGTTTCCCATGCTGTACCCTGCTGTGTCCGGCTGTATCAGTGACGTCCTACCGAAGGTCTTTGTGTCTGATTGGTCCGTGTCATAGAGAAAGCCCCACTGCTGGATCCAGGTCTAGGCTTATGTTTGTGTTAAAATATTTTCAATAATTTCTCATAATCTCATGCCTCAAATGAGAACATAGAAACCCTATAGTGATGATGGTAAGTCATATTATAAAGAGGGCTAAAGGGAATTATTTTTCAACACAATGCTCCACACAGAGATCGAATCTTAAAACCTAAATACAGCATTTAGTGATTTTAACCTCTTGATCATTAGCTATTAGCAGGTAACAGTTGGCGAACACTGGCACTGTGTTCTCCCAGGAAGGGTAGTGTGAGCAGCAGCAGCTTCAGTGCTTCGCCTGTGTCCCACAGGATACATTCAGGCAGTTTTGAGTGTAGGTCACCTGCGTTTTGTCAGCACCCAGAGCCACAATCACTGCAGTTACGCATATAAAAGGGTAATATACATAGTCACTGTTTTGTATAATTCCAATGCTGCTTTAGGGTGTCTGTATTTCATGCACTTAAGTAACCAGGTTGCAGCCTGTTTTCTTTTTGATATTTGATTTCTTACACTCTGAGAAGGGGAGCCATTGGGCACCATGATTTTTGTTAACAGTGAAGACACTGAATTCGGTTTAATTCAGTTAGTTTTCACTGTTTTTAATGCAAAAATAATTGCTGACAATCTGGAAAGAAAAATGTTGCCTGCATGTTTAAATGTAAACATATAAACATCACGTAATCATCCACAAATAAATTGGGATTCTTAAAGTAAGAGTCTTTTGTTTATTATAAAATTATTGCGGTATGACATCATCATTCTAGAGACTGCAGATGGAACAGATGCCTGTTAAAGTCACAAACAAAGCATGACATGGATATGTGCGATGTACATAGACAATGGGCTTTCATGTATTTTGATTTACTCATGACTGGTATGCAGACCAATATTTAGAACCTGTTGATTCTACAAGGTGTACATTTTAAATACAAATTACTTTAATGACAAACTAAAAAGCACTCAAACCTGCCATGAATCAAGCTTGCAATGATATATTTTGAACTTATGTTCATTGCTTTGTTGTAATACATGTTTACAGTCTTTTGAATTTTCTTAAATTTGATGTATGTATTGTATTCTCTAGGAGGCGTAAATGAGTTTTACACCTCAAATATCTGTTGGAGATGGAAAACTGGCTGGCTCATCACAGTGAGGTTAAATTAAGTTAAGAAATGATTTCTGACTCCAGTGCAGTTCTGCCTCCAAAATACTCTGATTCAACTTTTTTCTCTCTGGCTACCAACTGCACTCAAAGTTAAGTCATCTTGTTGAAAGGCTGTTCTAGTGGTCAGCTATTAGAACAAATGTGAATCTTCTAAGCTTGATTGCTTATTTAACTCCAGCATCCTTTGAATTATGTTCATATCGTTCACATGGTATAACGATGTGACAGTGGTTCTGCGCACTGTTCTCCTGATCTGGATTCTTTCTATCATAAACTGTAAACCCTTCTACTCCCCCCGTGAGTTCGCTTCATTCATACTAGTCGGTGTTTACATTCCACCGCAGGGCAACGTGCAGGAGGCACAGCGCGCTCGCCGACCAGATACTGTGTGTGGAGCGGACCTACCCGGACTCTCTAGTTATTGTCCTTGGTGACTTTAACAAAGGAAACCTCAGCCATGAACTCCCCAAATACAGACAGTCTATTAAATGCTAAACCAGAGGAGAACATTTTCGACCACTGTTACACCACAATCAGCGGGGCCTATTACGCCGTCCCTCGTGCTGCACTGGGTCTCTCTGACCACGTCATGGTCCATCTGATTCCTGCTTACAGGCAGAAATTAAACGTAAGCCTGTTGTCAGGAAATCAAAGCAGCGGACCAGTGAAGCTATGGAGGATCTTCGGGCGTGCTTGGGGACTGGGATGTTTTCAGGACTGCTACCAACAATCTGGATGAGTACACAGAGGCTGTGACTTCATACATCAGCTTCTGTGAGGACAGCTGTGTTCCAACAAGCACCAGGGTGAGTTACAACAATGACAAACCCTGGTTTACAGCGGAATTGTTCAGAACTCAGACAGCTAAGGCTGCACAAGGATCAGGCATTTAGGAGTGGGGACAAAGACTTGTATAAAGAGTCAAAGTACAGGTTTAGCAGGGCGGTGAAAGACGCTAAACGACAGTACTCTGAGAAACTGCAACACCAGGGCCTCGTACGTGGTTCAGCAAAGTCGATCAAATGTCCTATTAGCCAGCCTAAATTAACTAGATGATTTATGTCAGGCTATGTCGGTTTCTCCAAGGCTGATCCGCTCTCAAACAGTCTCGTTAATTCGACCCAGACTATCAGGATCAGGATAATTGCGCGTGCCCGTCCTACGTCAAAAGGGGGACGCGTCGATCACCGAAACCATGATTTTCTAACAGTACAATGTTAAATAAACTCAAAGAAAGAGCCTCTTTTTACTCCGCTGACGAGCAGGAGATGATCATGAACGCATATGAGGAATTCAAGACCATAATCACGGCAAAATATAACACTGATGCCGCTGCGAGGGCTAGACAAGAAGCACGCAAAATATCACAGACAAGTTAAATGCGTAAGTGTTGGGAAAATGTATCGGCTAATTTTAATGCCTCATCACCCCAATCAATCACATTATATGTCTTTAAATGTGACTGCCGGCAGTTGGCTTTAATGGCTCATTGGATGATTCTTATCATCCAATGAGATCTTATAGCGAAAATAATTATCTCAACTCTTTCAGAATAAGTAGATAAAACAAGCCCAAAGAGTATCTAATTGATACTCATTAATATGAGGATATATGTACTGTATGCACGTATGTATCATGTAGCCTACTATATATGTGTATATACATGTCTGTGTAGATTACCATATAGAACTAGGAGTTTGAATCTGTGTGTGTGAATCTGTGTATGGGCGGATCAGTATGTATGTATGTATTATTCATCATCAGAAATTCAATCAATTGAAGCAGTGAAAAGAAATAGTGTGTGATTCTCTCTATTCTTATCATGAGTCCACCTTAATCATTTTCTACAATAATGATATGCTGGTGTATTAATGCAATTATTCAGCATAAATCCTGTTATTAATAATGTTGTCAGGTAGGGCTGGGCGGTATGACCAAAAATCCATATCATGGTATTTTTTAAGACTCTACCGGTTTCACGGTATATCACGGTATTTTTTTCCGCCTTAATGCAGGGCAGGCCATGCATTTCGTACCTGGGCCTTCACTGCTGTCTGGCAGCTGAAATACCACCTTACATTATGGCACCACAGCTTCTATTCATTTTTAAGGCTGTAACTATGTATGAGTCATTTGAATAACACTAGAGCATTTAGAAAATGCAAAAGCCTAAATTCAGGAAAATATAATGTTCTCAGCTGGTCTGGCTGTGGGATCCCCCCCGCGACCCAAAGAGATTGTCATAGGATTTTACTTTCACAACTCCAACATTGAACGTACTGCTCTGCAGTGTCTTTCCTCGTCTCAGTCTCCTCTGTCATGGTGTCTGGTACATCTTACTCTGGTCAGAATGTACATATTTGATTGGCTGAGCTGCATCACGCGATGTGATTCACTACCTGACAGCCTCTGCTGTTAAGTTTCGTTTCACAATAGTCACGTGCTCGCCCACTGACCAATCACAGCACACTCTGCACCTCGCGGCAGAGCCTGTGCATGGACACTGAGCGGCATGTAATGCTGACGTCATTATAGGCCGGCGCGCAGGCTCTGATAGTCAAAGAATACACCCAACATGTCAAACTAAAGATCTGATTGGTTGAACACTATGACAATCAACAATATCGTCCCCATTTACTTTAATCTGCACTGGCTGCAGGTGAGACTCTGCAGGCCTCGGGCCTCTCTTCTTACCTAGAGACACAGAGGTGAAATCTGATTGGATAAAAGCTCTACTTAAAACAAGCTGCACTGGAAGCAGAGCAACTGAGGACGACAGTAGCTGTGCAATGAGAAAATAAGATAATGGGAAAAATATTTTTATAAATTATAATACATGTAATGTATTTAAGAAAAATTATTAAATTATAAAATAGGTTTTTATTTTTATTCATTTATTTAAAAAAAAAAAAATATATAGCTTTGCGATTCTGTTTAGGCCAGCAGAGAAGGCCTTGCAGTCCTTGACGGCCCGCCACTGACATATATATATATATAATTTTATTTTATTTTATTATTTTAGTATCAGAACAGTGAAGAAAAGGTTTCCCTGAAAATGCACACTCCGGTACAGTAGGTACCGGTATGCACCTATGCAAGTTGGTAGCGATCCGCCAGTGGAATTTAAAGAAGAAGAAGAAGAAGCCGCTCCTACAGCTTCTTATCACCGTCTACTACCAACGTACATTTATAACAAATACCACACATATTACGTATTCTGCGTTGCATATGTGTCTGATCTAAATACCTTTTGTTGTTCAGTCTTTGTTCATCCTGCATCGCTCTTTTCTGTTCTTTAATGTGACGTTACTGGAGTCCCAGCTGTTAGTGAGCATTACCCAGTATGCAGTTCGGCGGAGAAATTTTATAAATGTACAAATATTAGTGCTACAAATTGTTTATCTGTCACAAACTGTTGAGTCGTGGTGTTTTGCCCTGTTAAAGAGCATTAGTTGTGGGTTGTTAATTGTAGTTACAATAATTGTTGTCATAAAGTTATAAAGTAAACCATGACTAGGGTTCCCTCTCAATACAGCTAAGACAACTAGCTCCGTCCATAGTACTCCTAGCGGCGAACATTATATTTTGCTGCCTGTTGAAGAGCAACAGAATTTATTTCAGCTGTGCACAGGTATGACGGTATATGAAAAATTCATATCGTATGGGAAATTAAAACCGGTATACCGGTCCCCTATTGTCAGGAGGTACAACTGCTAAATGTCAGGTCGTGCAACCAGGTAAAACATTAATTTTGTGCAATAAATAATTTAATATTATTTATTCAAACTATAATGTGAATAACTATTCTATTCCATGTATTCATTTGTACATTTGTATCATTATCTTTCTAAAATTGGGTGCTTAAAATAACAGAAACATGGACAATAGAATGCAATAATCTTAATTTGTTCTAAATACAAAACACATCCACAAAATAAGTATGTGTTAGGCACTGTAAACACCTAAGGGATACATGTCAAAGATTTCAGTCATAATGAATAGTAGGAAAATATATATATTTTTACAAATATCTGGTTGCTCTACCTGACATTATTTTAGCAGGTGACGTCGAAAAATACTGTGAAAAATACATTTACCTACTTTGAAAAGTTATTTAACAAATGAGACTTGGTTAAATACATTGTTCCACACTCAAAAATATGCATTACATCCAATTTGAAAATACTTTTTAAAAATTCATTTTTAGAAGCCTTATTTGTCAATGACCGGCCCCAAAAAAATGGCTGCTATGACTACGGGATACATTTCGGAGATCATGTCAGAAGGGGTGAGTGATGAGAATTCTGCCGGCTTGTCAGCTGAGAACCACTTGCCACAGCAGAAGCCGCCGAAGCTGATGGAGGGGGCTGCATCTGTGAATAGTTGGATGTCTTCTGGCTTGGTAATATGGTTGTCATAAAAGAAGGAGATGCCATTCCAAGAGGAGAGGAACTGGTGCCACAGTTTTAGCTCCATTTCCATGCCTCGTCGAATGTGACGTGGTTGTGGATATTTGGAAGGGAAGCGGCAACTGAAAGCAGGTTCGACGAGGAGCATCGACCTGTCCGGTTGAGGCGAATGGGCGAATGGGCCTAGCAGCGAAAGGGGTTGGGGTTTGGTGCATTTTAGGGCCAGGAGGAAATTTGAGATGAAGAATTAGATCCGATGGATTTTCTCAGTAGGTAGGAGACGTTGAAGTTGATGCCAAGGATTTTCAATGACGTGCTAGGACCTATGGCTAAGGCTACTTGGCCTGCGAGGCAGATGAGGGATGTAACGTAATTGATTGTTGTGTACTGCATGAAGTAGTCCGGGCTGGGAATTAGGCTATTGATGCTTGGGACGGTGGAGCCCTGGGGTGATGAGAGGTCTATGATAAGTCTCTTTTTCCCTGAATATTTCCTAGTAGCTACGCAGAATGGACTGATTAAGAATAGGGAAAAGATGGGTTAGTGAGTAGACTGATCATGAATGCGTCGTGGACTTCCTGGGCCAGTAGTTTATTGACTGTGTTGGGCTCTGACATGGCTGATTGCTATTTTTTACGTGTGTATGAGGATTCTGGCTTAACCTGCAAACCTGGGTGGAAGCCATATGTGAAACCTGTAAGAGGAAGAATAACAAACTGGCAGTCTGCATGGTTCTTTAAGGCAAAAGCCAGAGCATTAACGTTAATTGGGGTATTAAGATACTTACACGGGCTGCGCTTGGTTGGATTGTGGGGACAGGTTGGCCTGCAGTCGGCCCCTTCCTAGAAGGAGCAGGTATGGAGGAATCGGCAGCTAGAGGTGTTGCATCCTAAGTCGTCTGAGTTATCGTTAACCATCCTACCTCCCTGATAGAGGACCGGTGTAGCTCTCCTATCTATGCCTTTGGGGAGAAGGGCCGAAGGTGGTTGACTGGGTGGTGGCTGGTTTGGGGGTGATGGATGGTGGGGGGACTAGAAGCAGGCTGTGGTAAACGGTGGGGTTCTGTTTACTAGGAGCTGATGTAAAAGGCAGGGGGGCTGTGGGGTTGCGTGTGGTGGCCAGATGGGATGGTGCGCCCCAAAGCTCACAATTCAGGGAAGACCGAGCTGCGAAAACCAGATGATATCATCTGGTTTTCGCAGCACTAACTTGGGGTCTAGTGTTCCCCAGTATGTTCCCTGAGTGTACTGCTGCAAGCGACCGGCAGCTTCAGATGCAAATATAACATGATGTGTATAAAAGTTGCTGCCGAACCGCAAGGCCAGGGATCGAGGATCAGCAACATGTAATCATCCAACTCGGGGCCTGCGGTCAAGAATGGCAGAGCAGATGATGTCACGGTACAGGGAGAAAGAGTAGGCGAATTTCACTGTTGTGAGGTCGTTGGAGCAGTTGGGGAGTGGCGTTTTGAGTGTAAAGCGGCTGAGAGCTGTTCGCAATACTTAAATACTTTGTGCGGAGGAAATGTGATATGTCCAAGGCGTAGTCATTGTTCCCAAACTAAGTTATAAAACTTAATATAAAAAGTAACGTGCGGTATGCTGCAGCTACTATGCACTATTTTAAAAACATTTAGCTCCATCCCTACTCCAAGCTCAATGTGTCTCTTTGTAAATTCCTCTCACTTATGTGGCCTGGTAAAGTTAGAAGAGTCTTGCTGCGGTTTGAAGTTGCTCCTCAGATAATAAAACAACACCCCCTTATGACCAAAATGTAACTGTCAACTAAATCACAATGTTACTGAAAATCCTTAACTGAATGACATTGGAATAAGAGTAGTAGTCCTGCAGTCAATAAAAATACATTTATAATAATGATAATATAATGTTTTTTAAAACTGTTATGGCAGCTTTTAAATCTTAAAGTTAACATTGGAACAATAATTTGAAATTTTAGAATCCTAACCAGCCAGCTGATCATTTATGCTTGAGGTAAGAAAAGATAAAACTTCACAATCGCCCTTATGTGTTACTAAAGGACATACAAAATAAACCATTCCAATACTCTCCCCTCTTGACGTATTAAGAAATATGCCACTATGTACTGTTAGATCCGGGAGTTTTATAGCCTGATACTAGGCTAACTACTAACTCAGCTCTCTATACTCAATCGTCACTAAATTCCACTGGAAAAATAAGAAACCAAGAATTAAGAATTCATTACACAAGGCAAACATTTTTGTTATGAGATTCACGCCAGAAATCCTTTTACATTGCAAATAAAATAGTTCCGATAGCTAAGTTCACGCCACCTGGCACTGCAGATCTGTTAAACTCTTTTGGAAAGGAATCACTGAGTCACTAGATGCCTCCCATTATTCCTCTCACTGTGCTTACTAGGAGACATATCCAGAAATAACCGGAACAAATCAAACTGTTGATTACTCCCCTCAGCCCTAAATATTGCCAAGAAATCTTTCCTCATGAACTGGAAATCAAGAAAAAAATTTAATATAGACTCATCTTTGGTTGGGATGAGTTCACACACAGTAGGGAGATTGACTATATCATGACCGGTGCAGACTAAACAACTTCAAGCTCAACGCTCTAAAGACAATGGAGATGGTTGTGGTTTTCCGAAGAATGCAGAGACACCTGCCCCCATCACCCTGTGTGACTCCCTGGTCGCCATTGTGGAGTTGGTATTGTTGGCATGGTTATTCTGCACATTTGTTTTGTAATAATTATATCTAAAGTCTTTAACAATGAACAATTTGGATCTTCATAGAAGAGCAGCCCCCCCCCATGTTAAAGTGCTAGTCAGCCCTGGCTCTGTCTATGAGAATCAGTGACAGCCAGTGACTGTTCTCTGACTTCCAGCCTTAAACCACGTGCATGTCAACCTCTTGAAATGGGATGGACTGTGTTTTATTGTGCCTTCACAGCAAGGCACGCCGATTGGCATTCATGACGGAATCCTGGAAAACATTTAATAATATAACAGGCTACTAACAAGGACATCTGGCTGTAGGCTACTAAAGGCCACTGCAAGACTTAGAAAGAACGGACAAGAACAGGTAGGCTAACCTGTTGGTCAAACCTTTTTGACCTACAGTAGAAGCATGAATCAGAAATGTACTGTAGGAAATGAAAAGATGAATACGTCATTATCTGCTTTAGCCTCTTTACTATTTGCTGTGATGACTGTTTAACTGTGGGCTAATCACTTGGTTTTTCATATACATCTATCCATATAATAAAGCTCTGCCTAACAGCAGCAGCTGAAAGTGTGGAAAAACTCTAATTCTTCATATAGATTTTATTGATGCTAAACTAACGATTGATCTATTGATTTGTTTTCAGATTGATTGATTAAATCTTAAGTCTTTGAAATAACAGAACATAGTAAAATAACTAAAGTGATTTGTAGCTGTCATGTTTTCACTGATCAAAACGCACAGACATTCTGTGATACTGTGATACTGTGACAACTGCAGCCAGAGATTAATTGGTGTTTGTGCTTGAGAAATTATTTTAACAATAGTTTATCAAAGTTGTTGTTGATACATTTGTCTTTCAATCGAACAAATAATGTATTGACAAATCCTTTCAGCACTAGACTTTATACATTTTAAATGTATTTTTATTTATCTCATATTTGTCATGTGGCCATGTCTTTGCATATGAAGGGATAAATAAAGTCGAGAGTGAAACTAAATAAAGTGTAAAAAATGTACAAAGCATGTTCATCATAGAGACTTGTTGGCAGAAAACAGCTGATCGGATTTTGGAGCCTGTGGTTATTTTAGTCTGACTGTGACCTGCCAATCAGTCATGCCAATCCATCACTTGTGCAGGTCTCAGGACTACAATGAACATTCAGTCTGCTATCAACAAAGAGGTCTTCATCCCTCGCGATGAGCGGCTGTTGGTGACTGTGGAGGTGCGTAGGAGGAAAAGGAAGAGAATGTCTTTCCTGCCTACTGGAGCCCAAGGAGACTACGCCACATTCATCTGTGTTTCAGGTTAAATCTGTCTTCATTTTGTGAAAATTAGCTAAGTATTGACAGTCTGTAAATTGTGTTTGTTATTTACAGACAGGCAGCACAATGAAAGTAGGTCCCTCAGATTAGTAACAGAAACTCTGATTGGCCAGTCATTCATTTCATCTTGTAAGAAAGAGCCTCTCTTGTCAGCAGACATTACAGCCATTTAGCAGATGCTTTTATCCAAAGCAACTTACAATTCAGATTCTATCACATTTCTACACCGTAGGCACAACTACGGGAGCAATTTTGGGGTTAAGTGCTCAAGGACACATCAACATGCATCTCCCCGGAGCCAGGGATTGAACCGTTGACCCTCTGATTGAAAGACGGCCCTGCTATCCACTTGGCCACAGTCGCCAGACCAGCTGGAGGTTCAATTACTCCCCGATTCACTGGCTGATGTCATTCATTAGACCCTAACATTTAAAGTGTAGACAAAATAGAAACAGTGAAAAGCAAAGCTTTATTTGTTTTCACGGCTAATGGTCATTTCTGAACTGAAAAGTTATGTTTTGATATGTACAACAATTTAAGTCTAGAGTAGTTTCATTAATTATGAGCAAAAATAGGCATCCGGTTGTTTGTTGCCTGACCTAAGTTTATGTTTAACTTTCAAGGACAACTTGTGGCATGATGATCCTGTTACTATACAGAGCCACAAAACCTTTTGGGGGGTAGGTTAGTGTGGACATATCAAATAAACATACCCAGGAAATGTATATTATCAAAATCAAATTCAGCAGTAAAAGAAATGAAGAAGAATTTAGCTCATTGAATGTACCATTGCATACCTTAAATATGTCATCGATGAACCTCAGAACCACAGGGAAACCTTTAAATGTAAGGGGTTAGACAGTTATTATGGATGCATTTCTTTTCCCAGAAGAACTGTCCATAACCATGCCCTCGCTCTGAAAAAAGGAGCCAGTGTATTGAAAGATGTTCATGAATAAAATAAATTCAGATAGTGTCAATACAAATTCAATAGGGGACAGAATGCCTTCATAACAGGTACTCAAGGAGTGTGACTTTCAGTCCATCTCATAAGGGGTGCAGGTATAGAGGCTTTGCACATCTAGAATGGCTAAAATCCTTTTCGGTTCACTATCAAAAGTATAAATACATTTGAGGACATATGCTGTGTCTCCTAGATGGGAGGGAAGTTCGACCATCCATTTTTCATGAAAGAAATACACAAATTGAGACAAAGGTTCAGTTAGGCAATACTTGAAACAATAGGGCGAAGAATGGGTAAGCCATGAACAAATGGGATACTTTCTCTTAATCCGTAATCCAACCTCCTGAGAGCGCCAATACTTTATATTTATATTTCTAGGTATTTGTTTATTTGTAAGGGACAAGTACAGAGAAACATTGACCATTACAGAGGCAGTGTCCAATGTATTGTACATATTTATATGGCAGAAGCTAAGTTCCAACACCAGTCCCTTGATCGGCATTGATAGTTTTGGAATCATTACAATTTCATGTTACACTTTAAAATCTTAAAATCAGTGCATATAATCAAACACACAAACATACCCAAACAAATAAATGAAACAAACAAAACAGAATGCAAAACAAACATTTATTTTAGTGCATAAGTAATGACTTGGTGTCATGGTTACAGTTCTGGCAAAGTTTAACCAGTACTGGAAAAATGTTTTAAAATCCTGAATCTGCTTTCAGGATTTTAGGGAATTCCAGAGGGCTGTGCCTTTAATTGAGAATACAGTTTGTGCAAAGGAAGTCTTACAGTGTCTGGTTCTATAATTTCCTTTTGATATCCTTTGGGTGTTAGTGGTAGTATAGTGAAGTCCAATTCTGAAGTTGTCAAAACTGAGAAGATTATACTTCTTTAGGATGTTGCAATGATGAAATATTAGTGATGTCTTGTCCAGAACATTGGTATATTGGTTATAACAGGATGTTAGTGGTTTAATGGAGGAGAGGTTATGTGGTATGAGAAAAAAAACATTGTTTGCATTAATGTTTGTGCTGTATTAAAGGGTAAGCAGCATTTGATTTGCCTGAAGGTTTGATCAGCCCTAACAGTTCTATATAACTATGTGGCAAACCTTAATTGAGAGTACAAAATAATTTCAAGATACTTTCAATCCTGTACCCTCTTTGTTCTCTAGTTCATTGTCTTCAGCCTCACTTCCTTCTGATTTATCCTTTTCGCTGGCCATAATCTAGTGTTACTTGCCTTTTTGAAGTGTGCAGTAGGTTGGTTGACGATGTCTCCCATACTCTGCCTTCAGCATACAGTATTCCTTTGTATTTCTTTCGTATTTCTTGACTTTATAAGTCTACAATCCTTTTAAGGATCTAGTGATCTTGTTGGACAGGGTATTGAAAGTGTCAATTTCCATTGTGTCTTTAATCTGCATTAGTTTTGCAGTGATTGCAGTTTTCTGGTTGATTAAGAGGACAAGGACGAGGGAACATTTATTCAGGATTTTTTTTGCACGAGTTTTTATTATATACCACCTAGTTACACCAATATGTAGGAAAGTACGGACGTGATAACCCCTCCCTATGCCTCAAACTTTGTGCATGTTTGATGAAGGTTATAGTACTCATATTTAAAGTCAAGACCCTAAACATAACATCGTGGGGAGCTTCACTGCTCGGACTAAATTATAAATTATCAAGGTAAAAAAAGATTTTTTCAGTACGGCATTCCTAGTTCTTTTGTGCAGCTATTATGTAAACACGTTAATTTTTTTTAACTATTATTGAAGGCTTTCAATAAGGATATCATATTTTGTATACGATTTACCTAGTGACCAACACAAGACCACATCAGCTCCTCATTATAAAGGTGAAGCAGTTTGGTGGCTCCTCCTCCTTCACCAGAAGGTCCCAGTGGAGGGTGGAGCAGCTCCGACAGGTCAACGGCATCAACCCCAACAAGGTTAGCAGCATTCTGTTCTTACTAGTAGTGATCTATCAACATATCGACTTTGTTCTGCCTATATCCTGCTCTTCCAGGACAGCCCAGAGTTCGACCTGGTGTTTGACAATGCTGTGGACCAGTGGGTAACCAGCTCATCAGCAGAGAAGTGTATCTTTGTCCAAGTCCTGTACCACGCCTGCCAGACCTACTGGGAGGGGAAAGCAGGACGTCTGGGCAAGACGGGCCACCAAAGGGGAGCAAGTCAGTGCGCTCACAGCAAGTTCGGATGTGGTCCCAGTGACTCCTCACCAGACTCTGCAATTAGAACCCTGCAGGCCCGACGGAAGAGCTACGTTCCTCCAAGACAGACAGAGTTCATCAACTGCCAATCCAAACTAACAGGAGGTAGTGTCACATGATTATTGAGGTTTATGATACGTTGGGAATCATTTAGTTGATATGTGAATGAGCCTGTTTTAATGTGTTCTTTCAGATGCCTGCACCATGAATCTGGTCATCTACCGCTGCAAAGCCTTCTTGAATCGTATGAAGAATATGATGGTTGCAAACCAAAGTCGATCACCCGCTCAAGGTAAGGCAGTGATGAAATGGGGGCCTAAAGTGCATTTACAGATCATGTATAGTTATGGTCAATACCATGAAAAGGGCCCTATAATTCCTTCTTGGGTTCTGGAGGAGCTATGTCAAGTCTGAGAAAATCACAAACAAAAACACCTTTATTGGCCGAGTACATGTGCCCATACAAGGAATTAAACTCTTACATCTCTCTTGATGTACTTACACAGAAATATCAAAAACAGCTAGGGATAAGGACAACAAAGCTGATCAGATAAAGGTAAAGAATACTAGACTCTATTGTTGAATACCAGAGCCCCCCAGGGCTGTGTGCTCAGCCCCCTCCTGTTCACGCTGTACACCCACAACCAACAAATTCAACAATTAGGTTTCCAGTCGATTTTCTGTGGAGGTCACGATCCAGTTCTGATCCCACACTCACTCACACACACACACACACACACACACACACACACACACACACACACACAAACTCAAACATGACTGAAGTGTCATCCGCAAACTTCACAACAGTTTGCAGATGACACTACAGTCATTGGCCAGATTACAAACAATGATACATCCTATAAAGAGAAAATGAACAACCTTACAGAGTGGTGCTCAGAGAAAAGTCAGTAAAACCAAGGAGCTGATTGTTGATTTTAGAAAAAAGGAGACGAAGACGCACATCCCTGTCTACATCAATGGAGCTGAGGTGGAGCAAGTTAAGCAGCTGTAAGTTCCTTGGAATCAGCATCACAAACAACCTGACATGGTCATCACACATTATCCTGCTGAAGAAAGGTCAAACGGCTGTATTTCTTAAGAAGGCAAAATTCTCGTGCCAAGCTCTTGTCAATTTTTACAGAGGAGCAATAGAAAGCACTGGAAACATTACAAACTGGCATGAGATGTTCAGGGTTCAGGACAGGAGGGCTCTACAGATTGTGATAAAAAAAAACACCCAGAAAATCATTTGCATCCATCTTCTGAGCATCAGTGATATTGCTAAGGAGAGGAGCCTGTGAAGAGCTAAAGGGATATTAAAAGAAAAAACCCACCCAGCGACAGCATGTTCACTCTGCTGCCGTCTGGAAAAAGATACAGTAAGTATCAGCTGCCGTTCCACCAGAGTTCAAAATAGCTTCTTTCCTCTGGCTGTGAGACTCTTTAACTCACCCCCCACCCTAATTTAGTTTTTTGTTTTCTTTCCTTTATAGCAAATTGGGACTACAATCTAAATTTTCTAGTGCAACCCTATTGTACAACGACAAATAAAAACATTGTAACAAGTAGTGAAACAATAGGAATATATATATATATATATTTATATAAAGCATCAATGTCCAACAATAAAATGAAAATGAAAAGTCTATATACAAGTCAAGTGTTATGTAAATTGTGTACTGTACAAGCTGAACCTGATGATGTCATAGTTTTGTAATTTTCAATGCTGCTTGGAGATTTGAAGATGTGGGTCTTTACCAGGCAGGGAGGGATACATGGAAATATGCTGTTTGTTTGTTGTAGGATTTAGTTTTTTTGGAGCTTGTCCCATACTAGGGACTAAAATCAGGATATTTCAGTGAAAAATGAAATTGCTCGAGTAAAGAGTTGGAAAGACTAAGACTATGGCTAACGCAATAGTTCTTTACCAGAATGTATTCTCTTAACTACTTAATTGTGTTCTATAAAGGATGAATACTTTGGTCAGCAGATTTCAACTGACATCAACAATCTGTTTGGAGCTGTGGGAAACACAAACTCTTCCAGTATTGTGATCCAATATTAGTTTATTAATTTAGTTCACTTGGCTTTAAAAAAATACAAAAACGAGATTGTGGCATTAGAGCTAGTGCCAGTATCAGACTAGGCAATATTTTTACTTACGGTCACTTTGTTAGCTTAGTCAGATTAAGTTATTGAACCCTGACCGATGATCCGTGTGATTGGTAAGGTAGTAGGGGCCAACATCATTGTTCCACCTGGCAGCACCAACCGTGAATGTTATTTATGTTATCACGGGTTTGTGAATGAAAGTGAAGCTGGAACCATGTGGTCACTGCGTAGCGAAGGGGCGCTCTGTGTTTTTCTTTCCAAGTCACAAGATCGAGGGTGAGTGTGAGAAGCGAACAGATGTGCATGAAGAGATAGGTTGACCATTTTCCAATATAACTTCCAGGGTCTGATTATGTTTTTGGTGATGTATCAAAATTGAAATATATATGAAAGTGATATGAAATAGATCTTTTATTCAAAACAATTCCAGAACTTAATCAAACTTAGATTTAACCCAAACAACTTTTCCTTTACTCATTTTTATTTTGAATACATTGTTGTATTTTTCAAAGTTCAAGACCAAAATTTGAACTTTCTGAAGTTTCATTTTTTTTTTTTCAAATGATCAAAACTATTGACCTGGATTTGGCTCTATAATGATGACATGTAGTGTTAAAGGGATTTGAGTGGTCAGAAGACTAGAAAATCGTAAGTAGAAGTCCATTTACAATTTACAAATAATAACAATAGTTGTAGCAGTTGGTGTCAGGCTGGTCCAAGGCAAGTCTGAGCCAGCCCTAACTATAAGCGTTATCATAAAGGAAAGTCTTAAGCCTACTCTTAAATGTGGTGAGTTCTTCTGCCCCCCGGACTGAAACAGGAAGCTGGTTCCACAGAAGAGAAGCTTGATAACTGAAGGCTCTGGCTCCCATCCTACTTTTTAAGACTGTAGGAACCACAAGTAACCCTGAATTTAGGGAGCACAGCTCTCTAGTAGGATAGTATGGTACTATAAGCTCCTTAAGATATGATGGTGCCTGACCAATTAGGGCTTTGTAGGAGAGAAGGATTTTAAATTAAATTCTTGATTTTAAAGGAAGTAAGTGCAGAGAAGCTAATTCGAACCTGTTCCACCAGATGCGCGAGAAGTGTACAAAGAGGACGGAGAGCAACATATTTTCAGGATGCTCAGAATTCCTAAACCTCAAAATGTTTTTTAGCATAGAGAGAGATTTCAGAGTGCGTAAGCATCTCAAATCCATTAAAACTCTGCAAAAAAGATGGTCAGTGGAGTCAAGGGTCAGAAACTACAAACACTTTTCTTCACTGAACAGGAAGACTTTGGCGTCTGCTTCCTTTTTTTGTGTTTTCTGGGATTCAAAACGACACACTTCCTGTTACAGGTTTCCTCCTACCACCATGATTCCTCAGGTCATATCATCCTGGGCTTGTGTCCTTCTGGGTAATTTTCCCTTCTGTCTTTTTGTCTATTGTCCTATAGCAGAAAGGCCTCTCTGTGATGTGGCGGTGAGATGAGAGGACACTTTGTTTATTTCTGGGAGGTCGACACAATGAAGCCCAGTGCTTTGAGACTGATAGGCAGCGCGGCGCACCATTGAACCCGCTGACAGGATTCAATGGATGGGAGATGTGCCAGGCTGCAGCAAGGCACCAAGTTACTAATGCTAAACCTTTTAAGCTGTTTGCAATCAGTCTTTGCAGTTAAAGAAAAATAACTCAAAATAAGGAATCTGTTAATTGTGTTGTCATATGCCGGCGAGAGCCTCGTCGTGGCAGTGTAGCAACTATCCACCTTACATGGAGCTACACAAACTGAAGAGCAGAAAGTGTGATCATTTTAAATAACTACAACTTATGAAAACACAAGGAACTGTTACACCATAGAGTCTTGCCATATTTTGTGACTGTTCCAGCTGCGTTGATTAAATTGATTAAGATAGTTTTTTCCCAGAATCTCTCCCACAGTCTCTGTCACAGTCTTTGAAAATAAATCTGCAGCTTTCAGCTCCTCCAGCAAGCGTCCTCGATCCTTGATCCTTGATCCTCAAGATTTGACAGGAGAATTGGAATGTCCTTCAAGATGGAGTGGTGAGATTGATTTCTGGGTCACAGATTTGCACATCAAAATGCAGTTGAGGCCGATTTGCTACACAAGAAAAACATTACAAGCAAAACCACACAAAAACAGTAGTTCAATCAGGAGAGACTTGTTTTATAATTTAACAATGATTTATTATACATGCATCAAATACAAAAAGTGCAAAGTCTTTGGCGATTGGACTCCATCCTGAAGTACTATCACCGAAGGTAGGGATACTGAGGTCCAATAGGTCCAATCCCCCCTGGAGTGGTGAAAGGAGTTGTTGCCATCTGATGATGAATCAGGAGCATGGCTGTGATGCTGACTGGAGGTGACTGGGGTGGAGGCGGGTCGCATCTGCTTAATGCTGAAATGACAACTGACAGCAGCAGAGAGGAGAACACTTTAACGTTTGACAGCAACGATCTGATTGGCTGAAGGAAGCTGTGTGACGAATCTGGTTGGTTACTTAAAAGTGCACACCCCCAATCAGCTGATAGAGTAATTACAAGGAGAGGAGAGACAGGGAATGCAAGTGAGTGTCTTTCTGACTGAACTTGAGCTACATTTCAATCAGGAGAGACTTGTTTTATAATTTAACAATAATTTATTAGACATGCATCAAATATGAAAAGTGCAAAGTCTTTGGCGATTGGACTCCATCCTGAAGTACTATCACTGAGGGTAGGGATACTGAGGTCCAATAGGCCTAATCCCCCAAAAGAAATGTATTTATATTAATAAATAAATACCTTACCTACTGCTGTGGTGAATTTCCTAAGAAAATAGAAAATTAGTTATGAGAGAAATCTAAGGGTAGAACATGAACGAGTAGATGTTAGATTGTGAGAGGTCCAGTTTTAGTCAAAGCAAAGGATAGAGGAATGCCACGATGGACTGCAGACTAGGATACGGTGGTCTGGAAGACCGCAGAGACAGGATAGTGCGGGTCTAGATAGCCCATAGTGGAGAATGGCAGGATTTCAACAGATCCCGAAACATATGGCGGGGTCGGCCCTGCGGAGGGTCCGAGCGCAGGACGGGATAGGTGAGGGCCAAGCTAGACCGCAGACAAGGATAGGTTGGGTCATATTAGTTAGGCGTAGGATAGCCGGGGGTCACGTTTAGACCGCAGA